TTTTCCTTCTGATGTACACAACCACATACTTTTTTGGATCCATTTTCTCCCTTATCCTATTTCTCATCTTTTCATAGCTTTTTTCTTCCTATGGATCTCTCCTTTTCCTTTTTCCTTTGTTTTTTAAGTATTGTTCTTCAACTACATCTATTTTCTCTCTTTACTGATCATCGCTTGACTCAGTACTTCAATATCTTAATTTCTCACCTCAATTCATTTTGAGAATCAATTAATCTGATTTCTGGGTATGCCTTGCATTCCACATTTGCTTGAGGATGTGGACTGATGAGGATGCTTCAGGAACAACAATGAACTAAATATTTAAGGTCTCTGAAATACTTGCGTCGAGCTGACGTAAATAATCTAAACAAAGAATAATTGCAAGGGACAGCTATCGTTATCCTTCAACGATGTTGACTAACATCACTGAACAATATTCAAAGATATATATTTATATTCGTTAATTTTGAAAGAACGTTCCTTTTCAATTTGACAATATCCCATGTCATCCTCATTTCGAGTTTCCCTTGTTTGCTCATTCTTCTAGCGCGATTCTTTAAGAAGATGAAAGCAGACTGACGGCTCAGCGAGCGACCTTATACCCTGGCTCTGATTCAAAATTCGTAGTCTCAATGGATGTCACATTACTGTCGATATATTATTCACTTAATGGTGTGCCATTTATGTTACAAATAAGATGGTCTACACGCGTTTACTGCTAAATGAAACATCTTACAAGATTTTTTATTAGTCTATAAAAAAGGAAACTCAAATTTTGGGTTTCAAATTGTAATTTATAAAATGGATTATGTGGGCATCAAATGAATGTTGCCTAAGTCAAACTTATTAATATTCTGATTTTATGCTTCCTAATGTATTCTTAAATTCTTGTATATCAAATATCTTACTGCACATTTAATTACTGAAAACATGACAATTTGAACCTACTTGAAGGAAAAGATTCGAATTTCCATTGATTGGAGACGTTAAAGCTAATCCGCAGTACGGGAGAATGTTTCTCTTCTGTTGGTAGAAGTAACCATGTGAGTCATTGAATATAATAATACCGGAATCCCTGCCCGAATATTGTCCGCGCCGTCCCGCCGCCACATACTGTGATAAAACATGCACTACACTTACGAAACAAATGACCTTGGCAGTTGTCGCGCTAAGAATTACTAATTACCCTAGCATCGAGCTCCTTAAAATATTAATGTGTCCGTGCATATCAAGTGAACTGTAGTTATCACATCATGAGTAGCAAAATCGTAGATTATCCCCCGCGAATCTCGCAGAATATTGCCCACGCCGTTCCGCCGCCACATACTGTAATTAAACATGCACTACACTTACGGAACTAACGACCTTGGCAGCTGTCAGGCTAGGATTCACTAATAAACCTAACATCGAGCTCTTTAAAATAATAATTCGGCCGTGCTTATCAACAGAACTATAGTTTTCACATCTTGAGTAGTAAAATCGAACATTATCCCCCGCGAATTGCGCAGAATATTGACGGCGCGTCATCAACCTAGCATCGAGCTCCTTAAAATAATAATTCGGCCGGTATCAACAGATCTATAGTTTTCACATCATGAGTGGTAAAATCGTAGATTATTCTCCGACGCATTTGGCAGAGTGTTGCGCGCGCCGTTCCGCCGCCTGGTCGTTCTCGCCGCGTGCTGTGTGAGCGGCTGTGCGAAAGACGCGACGGGCACTGCGCAGTCGCTTTCCACGAAGCGCGACGTCTCTGGCGGAGCGCGCGCTCGCAATTGCGTTATGCAAATCGACGGCGAGTCGAGAGATGAAGCGCTAGGAGCCCAGCCGCGCCCGAAGAGGCTGTCGGAGTAGCAAGGGCTCGCGCAGTCGTTCATCATGTCAACCCCAAAGGCCTCTTTGCACCGTACTGTTTGGCGGGCAGATTCTCGTGCAGGCAATCCAACATCCCAAAGTAGAAGTATGAAGACCTGTTCCGCCGCCACATACTGTGATAAAACATGCGCTACAGTTACGAAACTAATGACCTTGGCAGCTGTTGCGATAGGAATAACTAATTAACCTACCAATCACTGAACAATCGAGCTCCTTAAAATATTATGGGGCCGTGCGTATCAAGTGAACTATAGTTTTCACTTCATGTGTAGCAAAATCTTAAGATTATCGCCGGCGCTGCAGATTCTCGTGCAGGCAAACCAACATCCCAAAGTAGAAGTATGAAGAGC